GGAATCGCCAAAATGTACATTAAATAATAATTGAATTGAAAAAATTACAATAAAGTGTATATCAAGTTGGGACTGTATATTTAAAGTTGGGACGTGAAGGTGAAATTGACCCAGAAAAATTAAGTATGAGATGGTACACCAAAAACGACTGTCGCTGTACGGACTGATTTAGTGAGAGTGAGATTATAATAGGTTTGAGAGCTCAATATCGAAACTTAGGCCAATGTCAACAAAGTGGATGAAGAACTGTTATAACTTGAAAAATGAAGGTCTGTTAAAGTCGCCCCAACAGTTGCTGAAAATGCACAGTAACAGGCTTGCCCGTATGTTACCCCTTCCGCCACATTGTAATTTTATGTCAATCTTAATTTGTTTCTTCAGTAAGCTTGTGATGTAATCTCAAAAATATCGGCTTGACCGTTGCTGGTCGTCTGACTTGGCTCTAGTGGTAAAGGATGACTTGGGAAATGTTACTTATTACCTTGAGCATATCTAGCAAAGGAAAACCACGAAGTAAGAATGTTTGTTGGCCTGGCCTTGAAACGCGTATTAGGGGAAGTAACAGGGTGTCGAATTTTGCCGGATTTTCCTCTATAGATCAAAAGTTGTAAATGATTGAAAACACATATGGCAATTGAACTATTTTCCGAAAAGAGTATGAACAGAAATCAAACGATCCTTAACACAAACTAAGTTTCCTTTCCCCTTAGATTTCAAGGTACGTCGAGCAGTCGAGCAATGTGGCAGCTCGGTTTCTTGAGGAGTAGGTTGATAGCTTCAACCGATGGAGAAAGAGTGGGTCAAGGTGCCACAAATCCACAGAAAATTGTTTGTTCCACCAGTGAAAATGCAAAACAAACATCGGCAAGATGACGATGTATCTAAATATCTTAAATAGGGCAATGAAAACTATATTGCTTGTATGATGATTTTGTGACAGGCACATTACAAAGTAAGTGGAAAACATACCTAAAATTTAGATTTAAAGTGGTATATTGTCATCTTTCAGTAAAAATTATGAGCCATGGGCCAGTTTCCAATACTCAACTTCGGCTCCGTCTCAGGCTTCAACTGTTTTTTACTAGCTGACTTTGAAGCTGTAAGCACAGTAATCGGTCTAATAGTGCCACAAAACATTAAATAAGATGCAAGAAAGCCAAAAATTACAGTAATCCAATGTGATTTAAACGCTTCAGGCCCACAATAGGGGATTGGTTTTGCGGAAACGAAGCCTGAGACAGAGACGAAGTTGAGTATTGGAAAATGCCCATGATGTCATCGATCGGCGTTCGGGTTGTCAGACGTGGAAGATGATCCAATATAGTTAACCAATCAGAGCATCTGTATTAATATTCAGACCACGTGTTACCTGAAAGATCCGTCCAACGTTAATGTGACCATTCCGAAGGATTTATGATGTCACTTATCAAACTACAACCAATCAAAATCAAGCTTGAAGTTTTATATGGACTTAAATCCTATAAATAGATAAATAAATCCCGCACAGTTCGATTTTGAAGTAGCTGGTGTACGCTGTAGACTTGGTAAAGCGGCAGTGGTTCATTCCTTTGTAGACCGTGAGGTAGGCACATTCGATTCTTGCTATGTAAGGCTTTTCACCCAAAGAATTTTTTTCATACTATACCACGCTCGTTTCATTGCCACGGCTTGTGAAGTGAAGCTCGTGAAGAATTTTTTTTTTTATTTGGGCAACAGTGCGTCTGCTAGAAATCGAGCCAAATTGAGAAATCGGGGGCAGGTACTACACTGTCTTAGCTACCATGTAGTGCCATGCAGTACGGGCATTAATCAGTTTTATTTAATTCAGTGCTTCAATAGTAATCATATTTTTTTTCGAATTCTCGATGTTATCAACCATAGTTCATGCCGATTCAAAGCATTTTCTCTGATTTTGGTGACAGTATTCTTTTTTTTAGAAATTTTGTTTAATTAATTGATTACCTTTGTGTTGTATTTAGTTATCAGTACCAGTGCATGTTAAAAATGGAGGCGGAACCGTTATGAAGCGGTAGCCACGTGAAATCACACTCAATATTAGCATTCCAGGGGTCAGTATCGTCTGCTGTTAGGTGAAAACATCCTCAATGATTAGTTATGAAAACCAAATATCTGAAAGGGTACACTAGGACGACAAAAACATTGAAATGATTTTCTAAAGAATTTCTTTACTCTGTTCTTGTTCAGGTTTGGTTTTCCCCGAAAAGCAAGCGACAACATGGGCAGCAACAATTCTGTTAATATCAATGGCCATGGCAACGTACGTAAAGATCCATTTTGCATGAAACTTTGAAAAAAGCTTTGTGTTTGTCGGGAATTTTCCAAACGTTTTGCGTATCATCCAAAATTAATCATTTCTATTGGGCTTGGCCAAATACACGGTTCCTTCGTTACTAGACAATAGAAAAAGCATGTTGAAAAAAGAACCACACAAACGCCACCTCATTGACTCCTTGACGCGTGGTATCATAATTTAGTTGGCCTACACGTTGTTGTCACTTTCAGTTTTTTGTCAAAATGTTCATCCTCGGTTAACGGAAGGTCGAAGCTTAGTAAAAGAATTATCCGTACGTCTTTCTGCACCATCACAGGACCCGGTGACCATTTTAGATCACTTGCACGACATGTACAGATTTATCTTCGGTTGACATCATCGTAACAAGTGCATAAGCGTAGAATTTGAGGGTGTATGTCGAATGCACGTTACCTTTGTCATTTGTTTTCGAGATTGATCGGATCCTCACATATACAAGTTCGCTCGTTTTTTTATTTCATTCATTCATTTTGTTTATATTTCTTGGGTGCTAGAAGTTAAATGTAAATCTCATTTTTTTGGAACTGTGAGGTTTGTATTAGAACCCCACGAAATATGACTTCTATTTTCACTAATACATTTTTACAGCACATTAGCTCCTTTTCAAGAGATCGAAGGGCTGGGTCTACGTCTACCTGTGTGAGCTACAGCGACTCTGTGAAGGAATTTGAAGTAGGGGACTTAGTGGAGGTTACACTAATCGTGCCTGAAAGAGGTCGCGGGTAAGTAAAACTGGCACAAAATTCTTTAGTCGGTCACGCTAACATTGAAAGTGGCGTTAATTGTTCATTTTTTAGAAGTTAGAAGCATCAACGAAAGAATAAGATGAAATTTCCTGTAAATTAAATTAGTGCCTGCCTACTCTGATGAATAATTTCATACTTGTGATTAAACATACATCAGCGTTTTACACCTGATTTGAAAAAAAAATTAAAAAGGCTTGGAACCCACATGAATTTAAAAATGGCTTGCGATACCATCTCATTCAACTGTTAACAATGCATAAAACACATTCGATGAACACGATCCAAAATGGCTTCCTCAAGAATAAGGTCCGTTGCGTGAAAGAGGACAAATGAAAATGGGGAGGTTTGCATGGTTAATTGTTACCAAAAGGAATGACTGAAACAGAGAAAATCAATTAGGCATTATGTGAGTGAACGAACTGCGACGCCATATAACGGAAAGATACTGTTGTAAACTAACCGATGGCACCAAAAAAAATGTCTTATGTTAAGCTGACTCTGTATGATATCTGGGTTTTTTTAAAATTATGTTTGTGTCAGGTTGAACATTGGCTTCTTGGCTGGCATCGACAAACGGGAAGACGATATTGCCCTGCTCTTCTCGGCAGATTTCTTCACTAAGCAGCTGAATTTCTATGCAAGGAAGAGGCAAAGATGGGACACGTTGCAAACCTCGGAGAAGTTTCCCTTTGAGCAAGGAGGAAAGGGCGTCATACAGATCAAGTACATGGGATCTCACAATCAGGCACGTATAAAAACAAGTCTGTTCCGAGCCAATTGGCTCATGAGATCGGTGTCATGTTTCCTTTTCATGGGGGGATTTAGAATTTCCCACTTGATGACATGCCAATCCGTCGCATGTTGCTCTTCAGCAAATGCCGGTACCCCATTATACTCCTGGGTGGAGAGAGACAAAAAAGGCCACAACACATGGCCGGCAACTGGATTCGAACCTCTGACTAGAGGGCCAGGGGACACAAATCTTAACCACTTGGCCGCATGTCCTTCATTATACGATTTGATATCTCGCTATTAACAATCTCGTGTCTGTTTTCCTTTTATCCAGGTGTCTGTAAACGGCCAAGAAATCGCCAACCTCAAGCATCGCGTTGACCCCAACTCCGTACAAACTATCTTCGTCGAGTCTGATGTACACATCGAGAGAATGGAGTTCAGGGTAAGTGGGTGAAATATCTTTTTCCATCTAAATAAAAGATTTCTTGAAATCGACTGGAAATGCAGAAATGTCCTTTGGTGGGTGGTCGAATAACTCAACATCGAAAAAAAGTGATGATGTTGGAAAACGGCTTTTCCCCTCAGTTTACAGTAAAATTATGCATGTTCTCCATTCTTATATATTACAACATTTGACGTTATTTTACAGCCCTTTAAAGAACGTCAGTAAAACAGCGGCAAGGACGACAAAAGGTCAGAAAGGGACTTGGGAGCTTATGACTGGTCAATCACAGTAGATGGAACGTCTTCTTGCATTAGACTCATACGCAGACGTCAGTTTTCTTCCGATTTAAAGTATTTAATATAAATTCACAATGTACAAAGTTTATCTGGTTCGTAAGTGATTTCGTCACAAAGCCGGACGCGCCACAATTTGCAGGCTCCCTCAGGAGGATCGCTGGAGTTGTGCGTTAACTTCCGGTTCCGTGGTCCCCTGTAAACGGCGACCAATGCATGTAACTTTATGTGCAGTGCATGTGCAGCGGGCGTGGTTTAAACTGAAGTGACGTCACACTTACGAACCGGATACTAATTAATATTATACTTTTGGCTGTATTTGTAGTTTTTTAATCCTGTTAATGATTTTTCACTTCACCGTCTTAGTGTATTTCTTTCTAATTGAAAACCTTAACAATCTGTCTTATTGCAAAGAGAAAACAGGTGAAAGTTTGAAGCGATGTTTGCTAATGGGGTATACATCTTGCTTTTTGAAAACTGGGACGATAAGTGGTACACGCCCATCTGGGGATCCAAAGACGGGCCCCAGGAAGCATTGGGGCTGCGGATGCTTCCTCCCGGTATGCTATAAGACAGTTCAAGAATAAATTAGGAACTGTCGCATTCTGGTTTTTAAATCTTTTCCTCCATTTTACTACTTCCGTATAACATTAGTTCGCAGCTGAACAGAGGGTCCCCATATCCTTTGTAGTGTTTTCGTGCTCCTAGGGTAAAAAAGCCTCCTACACCCATGAAGTAGGCCTATAGGCTCACTTGTACAGCGCAGGGATGGATGACATAAGGCAGTGTAAACGTAGCTGCATAATCAATACCAATTCTCTGTAACATTATTTGACACAATAAATAAATTCGTACTTGAATTGTCACTTTATTTTACTGTGTAGCCTTATGCATGCCAAAACATAAGTAGTATTTTTATTTTCTTGACTCTTTTACAAGAAAGCAGTCAGCCTTGAAAAGATTCCCAAATCGTGGGAAATTCTCACTTGAAAAAAGAAACGCACTATCCAACAAACATGAAAAACACCTACATGATACAAATTTGATTAAAAGCTTTGGATTGGAACAAGCTACTCTTAGGATGAAAAGAAAGGATCTGTAAGCCTGAGCTTCAAGGGAAAAGTATAAGTAAGTGGCGTAAATTTGTGAAATTATGGGGGAGGTGTAGATTGGAATTTGTGGGGGATAACTTGCCTGGCAATAGAAATATGAAAGAAAGAGACGGGCTGACACCATACGACACTGTATGGGGCGATGTTCATAATGCAGATATACATCTGTGATTATGTATTATATTCATGCAGAATCTTACATTAGAATGGCATGGCTGTTTTTAGTGGTCTCCATGTTGAGTGCTTTGAATACATTTCGGTTATT